ATGTGTTTTTAGTATATATGTATATATGTATATTTATATGTGTGTGTGTGTGTATATATATATATATATGCGTATATGTGTGTATATATTTGTGCATATATATATATATATATATATATATTCGTATATGTGTGTATATATTTGTGCACACACACACACACACATATATATATGCGTATATGTTTGCATATATATATGCATATATGTGTGTATATATTTGTGTATATATGTTTATATGTGTGTTTGTGTATATATGTGGTTTTGCGCATGTGTTGTAATGGTTTTTTTTTTGCTTTTTAAGTCCCTTCCACTGTGTTTTCCAGTATTTTTCTGAGTGATGGTCACTTATTAGCCCAATAGATGTAAGGGGTCCAAATTTGATGTCAATTCATCCAGTGGTTTTTGAGTTATGTTAATCCCACAAACGAACATTACATTTTTATTTATATAGATTTCCTAAATTTATACCCTGTCCTTCTCCCCCCCGAAGAGGGACTCAGGTTGACAGATTGATTCAGGACGATCGTTGTATCACTCAGAGAGAAATTTCAAGCATAATCAGCATTTCACAAGAACGTGTGGGTCATATTATTGCTTGGCCAGGCTATCGGAAGATCTGTGCACGATGGGCACCCAGGATGCTGACCTCAAATGAAAATGCACAGACTTCTTCCGTAACGGCTTCAGAAAACTTGTTCATTGTTGTCAGAAATGTATCCAATTGTCTGCTGATTATGTGAAAAGGTGAATAGTTAAAGAGCACATTCTAAGGATTATTTCTTCATTTGATTTATTAAAATATTCCCATCCAAACCCAAGTAACGAAATTGGAGGCATTACTTTTCATTCAACCCTCGTAACATCTTCTTACATTGCATCTTCACGGTGAGTCTAGTTGCACGGATCCCAGGCATGGGTTCAAGGGAGGACATTCACGAAGCCGAAATGGAGAAAGTAACTGTCCCAACTTTTCTTTGGAAGCTGTGAATCATTAATCCTGAGCACTGGGTTCGGGTGTATTTGCAGATATTTGAATCCTGGGATCATGGGCACCCGGAGGAAAACAAGAGCAGGTGGGAAAGGTTTACCCAACGGAAGGGGGAAGGCAGGATTTATTGATTACTAGTTGTCCCCTGCCACGTGTTGAGTGGCCCACATGGGGGTTCTGACTGGGAGGTTTGGCCCAATTCTATCGCTGGTGGGGTTCAGAATGCTCTGTGATTGTAGGTGAACTATAAATCCCAGCAACTACAACTCCCAAATGTCAAGATTCTATGTTCCCCAAACTCCACCAGTGTTCACATTTGGGCATATTCAGTATTCTTGTTGAGTTTGGTCCAGATCCATCATTGTTTGAGTCCACAGTGATCTCTGAATGTAGGTGAACTACAATTCCAAAATCAAAGGACACTGCCCACCAAACCCTTCCAGTATTTTCTGTTGGTCATGGGAAAACTGTGTGCCAAGGTTGGTTCAATTCCATCATTGGTAGGGTTCAGAATGTTCTTTGATTGTAGGCGAACTATAAATCCCAGCAACTACAACTCCCAAATGACAAAAGCAATTTCTTTGAGTGAAGGACATACATAGGGTTGTTAGGTGTCTTGTGTCCAGATTTGGTGTCAATTCGTCCAGTGGTTTTTGAGATCTGTTGATCCAACCAACAAACATTGCATTTTTATTTATATAAATCATGATCGACCTTCCAATTTGGAAAATAACAACATTTGAAAAATTGTAGTTCCCTTTTCTTGCCGTCTCCTCTCCAGTGGGTCCTCTCCAAAGAAGGGCAGAACGAGTGGGTTGTCATAACTTGTGATTATTGAACCCAAGATCAAGTCCCATTGGGAAGTGTAGTTTCCCCCTCTCCATCCCTTTATTCTTGCCATCTCATCTCCAAAGGAGGGATGAAAGACAAGAGTGAGATCCTCTCCAAAGAAGGACACAACAACAAGAGAGAGTCATTGCATGTGCCGTTATTGGCTCAGGGTTACAGACTCCCTTGGAAAGTCTAGTTTCTCCCTTCCATCCCTTTTTTATAGGTACCATTTCTTGCCATCTCCTCTCCAAAGAAGGGCACAACAATAAGAGTGGGTCATTGCATGTGGCTTTATTGGCAAGGCTTGAGAAGTCTAGTTTCTCGCCTCCATCTCTCCAGGGTTACAGATTCCTTTGGGAAGGTACCATTACTTGCCATCTCCTTTCCAAAAGAAGGACACACAGACGAGAGCGGGTCATTGCATGTGCCATTAGTGGCTCAGGGCTACAGACCACCTTGGAAAGTCTAGTTTCCCCTCCTCAATCTCTCCCTTTATAGGTATTGTTACTTGACATCTCCTCTCCAAAGAAAGGACGAAAAACAAGAGTGAGGTCCTCTCCAAAGAAGGGCACAACGACAAGAGCGGGTCATCGCATGTGCCTTTATTGGCTTGGCCTTACAGACCTCCTTAGGAAATCTAGTTTCCTGCCTCCACCTCTCCATTTGAAGGTACCATTTCTTGCCATCTCCTCTCCAAAGAAGGGCACAACAACAAGAGCGGGTCATTGCATGTGGTTTTATTGGCATGGCTTGGGAAGTCTAGTTTCCCACCTCCACCTCTCCGTTTGAAGGTACCATTTCTTGCCATCTCCTTTCCAAAAGAAGGACACAATGACAAGAGCGGGTCATTGCATGTGCCATTATTGGCTCAGGGCTACAGACCGCCTTGGAAAGTCTAGTTTCCCCTCCTCAATCTCTCCCTTTATATGTACCGTTACTTGCCATCTCCTCTCCAAAGAAAGGATGAAAGACAAGAGTAAGATCCTCTCCAAAGAAGGGCACAACAACAAGAGTGGGTCATTGCATGTGGTTTTATTGGCATGGCTTGGGAAGT